TCTGTATCCGTGTTTTTGTCAGTCTTTTCTATGCTATAACTTGCATTAAGATTTCTTAAAGACGTGAAGTAGATAAAGATGTTTCATCAAATTGTGTGTCGGCAAATAAGCGACTGCTTTATACACTGAATTCATATCACGTACACTTACAAATCATAAATCATATCCTCACAGATGGATTTTAGACGTGAAAGAAAATATTTCCAAGAGCAACGTGTAATGAATTAGATATTGAATTGTCGAGATCTTGCGTGAGAAAATGGGTGTTGTTTTCGTGGATGTGTTTTCGTATGTTCAAAACAGCTGTTGACATCACGAATTTTGATAAGTACTGCCACCTATATTCAGATAGGAAAGTGTTCGTTAAAAAATAAGCATTACAGAAGAGGGGATTACCAAACACTGAGACTGTAGCAAATATTTTGTGTATAAAATAGACGATTCTTATTAACTTATTTGATAAAATCACTTGTTTCTACGTGATCATAATATCGCCTGTGATTTACAATCGTCGAGCTCGAGTATTGTTTTAGATTGATTACTTTTGACACTAAATCTGATGTCAGTAAAGAGAATTGCTACGAATCCGTGTAATCGCTTTATTGACAATAACTTTTTTATTATTATTATTAAATGTGTTGCACTCGGTTCGTAAAAATATAATTTGTAAGTTTGTTTAGAGCTATAACGCACCTTTATCGTAAAAGCAAACTTTCAGGACCTATGGAGACCGTGTTAACCACAGTTTAAAACCATGATTCACAAAATGCTTTCTCAATATGGTTGTTATATACAAACAAATGAAATCAGTGGGGGTTCTCAGAGAGTGGTGATCAATAAATGCCGATAGAAGGGGATCATAGAGGAAGGTGATTACATGATTTGTGTCATTATAGGCATGTAAAGAGAAAAGTTAGTTTACAGTAGATCAACCAGAGAGGTCGCTTTACACGCCTATGACATCACAAATCACACGATCTTCTTCTAAGCCACTCCCCTCTCTCTCTCCAGGTTCAGTTGATATGCTACTAACGTCAACAATATTGTAGTCTATACTGCTGCCAAGAGATACAACCTGTTTAAAATAATTATATAAAGCTTGGAAAAAACAAACACTTATACGAATTCTTAACTTATATGCCTAAAACTGCAAATTTTAGTCACGCTACAAAATTATCGATGGTGTTTGTTAATTAGACAGAAGCTGTCTTGAAGGATCAGCTTGAAGTGGGGTTGTTTTTAACATCACCTAAAACGAGCATTTTACATTGAAACTAATTACACTGCATTAAGTGTACTTTTTGAAAAAACAAACCGCTCAACAGAATTCTTCCAGCCACTTTAGAACAGTTAACAAGTTGTTGATAGAGGGGTTAGAGCGCTGATATAAGCCAAAGCAGCCAATTAAGCAAGTATATCGTGTTAACGGTTGAGTTATACGATAAAGTTTAATAAAATCTTAAATAATTAAACTTTTAATATTTAGTAATAGTTGCACGCAATCATAAACTTAACTACTTCGTTAAAATTCAGGCATATTTCTGTAACGTTATTTCCACAGAGGCAATGTTGAACCTTCAAATAAACCCATACAAGCTTTATTTTGTTTTAAACACATTTATATATTGGCAGCCCCTCGCTTTCTCAGAGGACAGTGAATCACATACTTGATTTCATGGTACCGATTCCTCTCCAATTGAAACAATCTTTCAAAAATTATAATTTTAAACTAATTGATCACGAACTATTTTCTGTTTCTCCCCCCCCCCTTTTCGAATCGGCCTAATCTCTACCGTTACATCCAAGTAAAATCCTAACTAATAGAGAGTAAACAAGTGTTTGAGGACTTTAATATCCAACTTCTTCTCAACACAAAACGTTTAAACTCAAGATAAAATTATCATTCTAAAATTATGTAGCTTTTATCTATAGCAAATATATTTTCATAAAAAATAAACAAAGTATACTATGACCAAAAATTCTACCTAAATCAAATTTGGCGAAAGAGGGAGTTACGCGCCTTACCTTCTGTACATTCACAGTGGGAGTCAAGATAGACGAGGACAGGTGCTGTAGCTACAGAGGCCCCAAGAAGACGAGCTCTGATCAAACCTTCTCTCCGTTGTGCTCGAACCACACGAACCTTGGGGAGCTGAGCCACATAGTCTTCCAACTGACGTTGTAGATGAGCTGTAATAGAAAATGACGTCTACATGACACTAACAGTCTTAAAGTGATTGTTAATTGGGATATACGAGGGATTACAGAGTATTTAAGTCACATTTAAAGAATCCAAATACTTCGCATTGTTTATTCGTAACAAAAGGAGGCATTTCCTTCGAAATGATTGGGTTATGACAGAGTTGCCAAACTTATAGTTTTGTTTTTCTGACATACTAACAAATAGTGGCCTTTAACTGACATTGTATCTTTTTATTGCATTAAAAAAAAACATTGCTATTTACGGGTTTATGAAAGTTTGTCAACCCTGATTACTGGGCATCTTTCAGTGTATATACAGCCTACCCGAAATTGACACAGCAACAGAGTGTATATGAACATAACTCACTTATTGGTATTTTCAACCTGAGCTAAACGGCCAGGTCAGACTCCAAAGGATTAGGCCTAACCAATAATTTAGAACTCACTGCTAATCAGAGGAAGGGCGTCTAGCCAGAAGCACTAGCTATGAACGTTATTTTTTTAAACCGAATAGTAAGAGTGACTGTCAGTTATAATGCACCCGCAGCTGAAAGTGTGGAGGTTCAGCGGCGAATCGCGGCTCGAACCTTGAAACGTCCATCTATAGATCGGCTTACTTATCACTAGATCGAACCCAGCCCATCTTTAGCAATACGATAAAGTAAATATTGTCCTCAAGAGAGTGTCATAATTTGTTTGTTTGTTTGAAATTAAGCACAAAGCAACACAATGGGCTATCTGTGCTCTGCCCACCACGGGTATCGAAACCCGATTTCTAACGTTGTAAGTCCGCAAACATACCGCTGTACCACTGGGGGGTGGGGGGGTGTCATAATTACTTCACTATAGTACTCTTTGCTGGATTTCCTTGAATTTTGAGATTTGTTTTGGTATTTTGGAAATTGCCCTAAAAATAACACTTTTGTCGTGAAACTTCACTTCCAGGTGTAGTGGTTCAGTATGTTCTTTCCTTTTTTGAATGCATAATCCAAATCTACAACTTGGGGCTATAGACTAAACAATTAGTTTTGTTAATGAAAATCTTCTTGAGTTTTCAAAACTGATCATATATGATCAGCGGTTAGTTTGCGGAATATCAACGCAAAAACTCCGTTGTTCGATTTCTCGTGGTAGAGCTCCCATTATTTGAGTAAAGGACATATACATTTAATGTTTTATGTTAAACAATAAATGGTAATTGTTTTTATAAAATCAGTGATATAGCATGAGATATTTATCGGAAAAGTGTTCACTTTAATAAGGGAGGTGAAGTATCATACTTACGTGGAAAAGTTTTATAACAAGTGAACTGAGACCATATCTTAATTTTCTACTTTAACGAAACTAATTGTTTATCACGTGTAATAATAAATTATGCTCTAGTAAATGCTTCGGTTATAATACAATTCGATTGATAACATGGGAATGCTATGTTAAGCTTTTTTATGAGACAAAAATAAAGAAAAAACTAGAACTCAAGACTTTTATAGTTAATGTACGATTACTCGGAGTGACTTTAAAGTGTCGAATATCAATCTTAATTTACTATATTGTATAGTTATAATGTTAATATTTAAAATTAAGAAACTTTTATCAAGAAATAAAAATTGTACTTAATGTCCAAAAAGTTTTTAAGTTTGGTGGCGCCATCTAATGAGTTATGCAAGAAACTTTCTAATCTAGGAAATAAACATAATCCAAATTCATGCAAAGTGCATTTAGAAAGTGGACTAATGTAACATGTAAACGTTATATTTCTTCCATCGATCTCAAGAGTTCATAGCCCAAATAAATCTTTCAAATCCACTTTCTACGCTAATACTATTAATATTTTATTTGTTTCTAAAATGCTTTTATGCCACAGGAGACAGAAACTGTAAGCATACAAATATTTGTTACTTTCAGAGAAACAGCAGCAGCGAATGCGTGACAAAACCACCGTCTTTAGCTAGGCCATACACTATTCAACGAAAAGCCACTATCGAATGACTGTCTTATTTTTTAACAGTGTCATCAAAATACTACAGAAGTCTATATTCACTGTAACAATTCCAGGTTTTATGTTGCTAAACATGTAACAAATGCAAATTAGAAGTTCGTATAAACAAATCCCCTCCCCCCCCCCCCAATATCAAATAGTGATATTGCCCCAAAACTTTTAAAGTATTTGTACACAACACTACACCCACGAGGGTAATAGGTTTTAGAAGTAATATCTGTTTGTCACATTCTCAACATCATTTGTGCACGTGGGTTCATCCTAATCCAATATGGCGTAAAGAAATAACACGCCGTTTTTTGCTAAACTTTCCTTGTACACACAATAACATTTTATGTTTGTGTTTTTTTATAGAAAATAATATCACCTCATTGCACTTTTGTAAAGTTAGTATTCAATAACAAAACTAAGGGGTTTGAGATGAAGGAGAATACATGCTCTAACATGGCGTTTATTTTTATTTTTCACCAGTTTTCCCTGCGATTCCTAATTTCGTTATGTAAATTTTCCCAGTTTTATTTTCTATAGCTTCAACTTGCATCTAGCTCACTCAAAATTCTATTCACGGTTTCCAAAATTCCAACTTCAGCCTAGTCGCGAGTGACGTCAGTAAAGTGACATAACATTCATTTAACCAATGTAAAGGAAATAATAAAGTTTAAATATTATAAAAATAAATAGAAATAATATGCAAATATGAATGTTAAGACAACCCCCTCCCGTTTTCAAATTCCCGGATACGCCAGTGGCAGTGTGTGTTTACATCAAGTAAGTAGCATGTTGATCTGGATTCAAACAGCACGTGACATATGTACAGTGAGGACTGGTGTACGTAAACTTGTGTGTGTAATTTATGTTTGTTCTTAGTAATAAGTCGTAGAGAGAAGCACACAAATGAGAAAAAAAAGTTAGAAAGTTCACCAAATATCTATCTATCTATTTACATGTGTGTCTATATGTACATTTATAAATCTGTGTGTGTAATAGAAATGTGAATTATAACTTTTTTCAAAGCATCTCATTGCAATATTTTACTACTACCAGCTGGTTTTATATTTTATATTATAGGTATATTTGTGGAAGAGCAAAATCAAAAATTATTAACTTGAAAAAGTAAAAAAATAAGTAAATAACTTATTGATAAACATACACTGATACAGATAATGTTATAAGTAACACAATAAAGAATTAACTAAAATTTGAAAATTCAGCTCACTTTATGAATCCAAAGCCAATTAATTTTGTGTGTTTGCACAGTTTTAGTTTCCTTAAGTTTAAAGTATCTTCAGAGCTCATAGAATCCATTAAAACCACACCCTCTATAGCTTATTATTTATTTATTATTTAATGAGGCTTGAAAATATTGAATGAAATATTTTATGTATAAAATAGGAAATTAAAAACATTTTAAGTTAACATTCTTACTTGAACAATGGATAATAACCAGAATATTCTTTTTCAGTTAACTTTCTTGGCTCTTTTTGTTTTGTTTTTATTTACTGAGCACAGGGTTAGATATATATATATAGTCTTTCAGCTAAATTATAAGGAATATTTAACTTGGTATGTTTAGTATGGTTACTGTAAACTTATGAATGTCTGTGACTTTTGGTAGGTTTGTAAAAAATGAAGTTTAAAAATGGAAGCTATTTAGCATTCCTTTCACATGTAAGACAGAAATATCTTGGATCAGGATACATGCTGTTGATTAGGTGACAAAATTCATCAATGTTATGTAAAAGAATCTACATTGCAAAATAGTCATCCAAAACACTTCTATGATAGTGTTAGATAGCTAACATACTCTATGTTAAAATAGTGTGGCAATAGGTCAGACATTTTATATTTAATATATCCCTTAAGAGTTGTTGTGTTTGTGGGAGCTACTGTCATATCTAAGGAAAGTTGATCATAAATCTTGCTGTTAAAATCAAAGGGATGATTATCCAAGACTAAAAGTAAACATTCTAAAATAAAAAGAGAGCTTTGAACTTGAGCTGTAAAGGAGCTTGATATTTTAGTAAAAAGCACTTCAATCTTCTAATCCAAGGTATTCACTTACTACTGGGACGTTAGACTATTATATGAAGAAATACTAACATGTGATTCTGTTTGATTTTCCTAGGTCAGCATTTTCCAAAGTTTGGGGTGGAGGGCATGAGCAATTAGGATAGAGTCGATAATGCAAAATTAAGTGTTTTAATATACTTTTTATTTATGAAATTAATAAGTAACTATCACAACACATATAGCAATTTATTGTACTACCCGTGTATTATATCTCGTCACTTAACTCACTCTTTCAATAATTTAAAAAAATAGGGTGGGCATGCAAAAGATCATATTTATTAAAGGAGGGGAGTGGATGACCAAAAGTTTGAGAAATGCTACTTTAGGTAATTTTTTAATAAAATCTGCCATCCCTAATATTAAAACTTTAAAAGGTTTAAGTGGTGTCACATCAAGAATTTTAATAAGAGGTTTGGTACTCTTATAATTGCTTGTACGTTCTGTTATCCTGATATTCTAGCGTGGTGTGGATTTTCATGATGTTTCTTATCCAACATCTCTTGTTAGGTCTTACATTTGTATAATTTTGGTAAAATGTAGAAATGCCGATTTTTGTTACTACCCAAAATATATTCAACTTCTTTATTCATTAGATAATTCCTAAACTTTCAAATATAGTTCACCAGTTTTTTCTCCACCTTTCTAGTTATTTTATTTTCATTTTCTATTAACTAAATGTGCAGCAGGTCAGACCATTGAAAAAATAATGTTGACTATTACTCTGAGTATACTACATGATATGCTGATAACTCTGGCATAAAATACATAATATCATGTTGAATGCCACTCTAAAAGGTCGAGGCACATGCACTTTAACCCACATCCATGCTCATAGGGTTAATAAATTTCTTCCTGGCCCAAATATTCAATAGCTATTTGTTTATAATATGAATTGTCTGAAATAACAAAAATTCGACAACAATGTCAACATTACCTCAAACTTTTCTCTAGGGCCATTCAAAGATGACTCTTAGATATAGGCAAAAATTTAAAATACCACCCCAACATCACACACACACACGTGTATATGTATGTTTTAGTTTCTTTAGCTCTCCTTTAAGACAGTCTTGTCTATGTGACATAATTGTCAGCAATTTATCAGTTCAAAACTTTATTTTGTCTATGTGACATAATTGTCAGCAATTTATCGGTTCAAAATTTAATTTTTTCTATGTGACATAATTGTCAGCAATTTATCGGTTCAAAATTTAATTTTTTCTATGTGACATAATTGTCAGCAATTTATCGGTTCAAAATTTAATTTTTTCTATGTGACATAATTGTCAGCAATTTATCGGTTCAAAACTTTATTTTGTCTATGTGACATAATTGTCAGCAATTTATCGGTTCAAAACTTTATTTTGTCTATGTGACATAATTGTCAGCAATTTATCGGTTCAAAACTTTATTTTGTCTATGTGACATAATTGTCAGCAATTTATCGGTTCAAAATTTTGTTCAGTATTAAAAATATTCATTTAAGCTTCTAATCTTTTATTTTCTGCAAAGGGAATGACAGTTCTGTGTGTTTGCTTTTCTCCAGGGTAAGGGCCGTTCTCTCCACCATTCCTTCCTCCTGCCAACTCCTCCCCCCCCCCCCAACCCATTTTGGCCTCCAATTTTCTGCTTCCTATAATATTCCACTCTAGGCAGTGGAATGATCCATTCAGTGTTTTGAAGCCTCTATAAATAAATATATTATTAAATTATAGATGATGTGATTTTAATACTTTATATAAGTTGAAAGATAACCTAAATTTCAGTAAGCTGTAAACTTTTGTACTGACACAAAAATGACAGGCTTTAATTTGTGATATGAGCTTAGTTTCTAAATTTTAGTTGCTAATTGCTTATTTGTAATTTCATCTAAAAAAGCTTATTTATCATTGTTTAATTTTAATGGTTTTTACTTTTGCTTTTTTACAGATATATCTCAAGGGTAACACATTACAAAACCAGTTGCTAGTAGTAGTATTATATATATTCTGTATTCATTTATTTATTTTGAAGTCTCAATTTGTATTGCTAACAGCCCATTTTGGTCTTCTACAATTCAAATGGACAATAACAAATTAAATCACATACAATGTATTGGTGTAATTTTTGCTTCATGCAATGTGATGGATTTCAGCATGAATACAGATTGTCATCATCAGATAATTATTTTTGAAATGTACATGAAATATCATAATCTGTGCGTAATTTCAAATTAATCAGTATTTCTTTTGTTCTAAGATGTCTTTGAAATTGCCTAATTAAAGAGTTTTTATTTCTACAGCTTATCAGAAGAATTAAATTATAAAAACAACAGTAGATTAATACTAAATAATTATTAATGCTTGTCCTTTCTTTATACAGTTTAATTTCAGGATGAGAATCTCAACAGCTGTTGTCATCAATAAAACTACATTTTCTGTAATTTTTAGAAAATTTTTAGTTCTTCACTTTTATTAGAAACTTACAGCACTTTAGAGGAGTTTTGAATGTTTCTTGATTAGCTTCACTAAACTCATAGTCCCTTCATTTTTTATTTTGTTTTTACTTGTGGGTTATTTTTGTTTTTATTTATTCTGTGTGTTTATCATTTTGCTTATACAAACAATAGCATAGTTTTTATGGAACAGTTGTCCTTATGTATATCATTTTGCTTATACAGACAGTAGCATAATTTTTATGGAACAGTTGTTCTTGTGTATATCATTTTGCTTATACAAACAGTAGCATAATTTTTATGGAACAGTTGTCCTTGTGTATATCATTTTGCTTATACAAACAGTAGCATAATTTTTATGGAACAGTTGTTCTTGTGTATATCATTTTGCTTGTACAAACAGTTGCATAGTTTTTATGGAACAATTGTCCTTGTGTATATCATTTTGCTTATACAAACAGTAGTATAATATTTATGGAACAGTTGTCCTTGTGTGTATATCATTTTGCTTATACAAACAGTAGTATAATATTTATGGAACAGTTGTCCTTGTGTGTATATCATTTTGCTTATACAAACAG